ATTCGACTAATTAGGGATAGCACCCACCTGAGAGATAAGGGTTAGTCCTTGCACTAGTATTTGACTGATTAGTGTTAGTCTCGCATCCATCCGAGGGATTAGGGTTAGTCCTCGCACATTATTTGACTAATTAGGGGTAGTCTTGCACCCACCTGAGAGATTAGGGTTAGTCCTTGCACTAGTATTTGACTGATTAGTGTTAGTCTCGAGGGATTAGGGTTAGTCCTCGCACATTATTTGACTATTTAGGGTTAGTTTAGCATCTGCCCGTGAGATTTCATCTAAACGTCTTCGTCCTTGCATACCATCCGATGGATTAGGGTTAGTAACTCGTTCTTTTACATACGTTAAGACATTTAGTTGTTTCTGTAATTTTTCATAGATCATAATTCAGATTTAAAGACAATTCGTTCGTTTGTTTACATGGAAGAATGGCCGAAAAAATGACACTAAGCATGCGCCGCACTCGCTTCGTTTAGAATTATTCTCTGAGGATTTTTTCATAACAATATTTTCAATTTTTTTTCAGAGAACAAGGTTAAAAACTTCTTTTAAAAACGAAGTTTTAAACTAAACTTTTAACCGCAGATTTCGATTCTGGGGTCAAAAGACCAAAAAACCTCGTATTTAAAAATTTTTTCGATCGCTCATGCGATCTCATATATAGTGAAGTCGCCTTTGGCGACACTACATTTTAGCGCGTTTTTCTGGGGACCGGTAAAGTAAAGTCGTTCCCGATACGATATGTATTTGGTGAGCTTGAGCTAAAAGATTTCACAGGGTCTGACACATCTGTTTCATTTTACTCGAAAAAGACGTTTATGGTAATCTTACAAACAAACGTTATGATAAACGTGATGACATTAACTTGTCAATCGTCAACTTCCCTTACTCATACAGCAATATACCTTCATCACCTCCATACGAGGTTTATATCTATCAGTTGATTCGATAGGCAAGAACATGCTCTGCATATGTACAATTTCTAAAACAAGGTAAATTATTAACAAAGAAGACTAACAAGACTATTTGCAGTCTCGCTTAAAGTCATCATTTCGTAAGTTCTTTGGTCGATACAATGCCTTGTCAGCTAATATAGATTATCATTGAGTATAAATCTGTCTGAAGTTTTTCATACTAATTGTTAGGCCATTTTTCACAAATCGAACTGTTGAAGGATTTTCCCGTTATTTCTCGATTATGACGAGGAGCACAAGGCAGGTGTGACCGGTTGGCAAGGGATGCTCTTTACTCCATGGCACCTGATCCCACCTCTGATGTTTAAGAGATCTGTTTTTGTTCTGCTTCTTTTTTATATTGTCCAACGGCCTTTTGAGCTTAAATACTGTTAGTTGTCTCCAAATATTTAATACATATAAAGCAGTAAGTTTTTTATGTTTTTATTCATTTCGTACAAGTTAGGCACGTTTAAGTATGAGTCTTTTGTCAAGCAATTTTTACAAAGCAATAGTATGAAGTCAGATACGTTCTGACATGAAAAAACAATACTGCTTTTATTATTTGGATAAAGAAACTAAAGTACTTGCAGAGCACTTAAGTGGTGATCTCAACACAGGGTTAAGGACGAGCTTTGGGTTTATGTACATGTACGAGTATTTGTTCAATTTTACCATGCAGTATCGATGGAAGCGGGACAAAAGAGGGCAGAGCAGTGAAGAAAACAAAGATTTTGTTGGGTGTGTAACTGGAATAAACCTGAGAGGAAAATACTATTGGAACATTTTTTTTTTCTTTTTATGGCATGATGATTGACTGATTGATTGTATATTATATTTTTCACTCATATGGAGACGTCACCGTATGTCGGTGAAGGGCTTCAAATTTCGACCTTTACTCGGCACTCGGGGCCATTGAGCAGTGAGGGATCTCTATCGTGCCAACGCCTGCCGCTGACACGGGGTCTCGGTTTTTTAGGTCTTATCCGAAGGACCCGCAACTTTTACTTAGGTCAGTCGCCGCCGAGATTCGAACTCACGACCTCCCGATCACGAAGCGTGCTCTCTACCGACTGAGCTACCGTGAACGGTATGGTATTGATGAAATCGAGTTGTATGAAGTTTCAATTGTTGAATAATAAAAAATGAGGAATGACGAGAAAATTGTGTTATTACGAAAGCCAACCATTATTAAAATTTTTAATGTGGGTAAATTATCTGACATCAAACATTCAATATGTTGACATGCAACTTAACTAAGTCAGCCTGCGAGTTACATGTATTTATGATAGGATGCAAGATATAATGTACTAATGTCATCAGATGTTCACTGACACAAAAAATAATACATTATCAGGGTTTTTGAAGGATATCAATTGATGAAAATTCTTTGATGATTCAAGATCTAAATAATATTAATTTACTTTTTTAGAATGGACTAATTATTTTGATTTAGGTTTGGTTCATCTGACGGAATTGGACGTTTTCCTGCAAATTTTTCAACTTCGAAGGAGAATGAAAATCAAAAGGGAAGGATATACTATAGCTTTTGCTATAGATACCACAGGCTCCATGTCTGATGACATCAAAGCAGTTATAGCTAATTCTGTCAACATTGTGACAAGTTTACAGGGATCCAACAACGAGCCAGTTAACTACGTTCTGACAACATTCAATGACCCAGGTTTTCAGTTTTTGCATAATTTTCTCACCATTTTCTGGAAAAAATATTTAAATCATTAATATATTACAGTAAATATTTCAAGATATTCATTTATACAACATTTAAAAAAGAAAATGACAATTACAAAAAAAAAGATGACGATGATATTTTGTTTCAGTAAAGGTAGGCCTTCGATATGTGACGTCAGATGGATATCAGATGATTCGACAGCTTCAGGGACTGCGTGCCAATGGGGGCGGCGATTGTCCTGAATATGCTTTATCGGGCACACTGACAGGTACTGTCGATGTCAATCTAACTGAAATTAGATCTTGATCCGCTTCAGTTAGATGGCTTTACAAAGTAGCGATCTAACTGGAGAGGGTCATAGGTCTAATTTTAATTAGATAGTGTCGATGTAGAAAGTAAAAAGGACATAAGTTTTATAAATTCAAACATTTCAGTACAATATTTTTTATATTGTTAAAATTCCTAATTTTAATGTTAGTTATATTCTATTAAGGCCCAAGTTAATCTCAATACTTGTCATCAAAAATATTTCAATTAAAAGCAATTCAGTTGTCGCTACCTGGGTCTACTGTATATGTATTCACTGATGCTGATGCGAAGGACTACAGCCTGGCAGATCCTGTAATAAAGGAAGCGAAGAAACGTGATATTTCCATTATCTTTCTGCTTACTGGTACCTGTGGTCGTATTATGCGAAGAGGCTGGTATTTTTAGCAATCATATGTTGTCTTTATTGTTTGCATCATGAAATGCTATTAAAATCTTTTCATTCATTAAAATATATTTTGTATATCATGGCGTTCAGATGGGTTTAATAATTTTGATAGGTCGCTTGACAGAGTTTCGTACAAAAATAGAGGAGCAGAATTTCGACATATCTATATAATAGTTTTTTCACCTACGGAAGCGTATAAAAACTGGATAATTAAAAGTCAAATTTCCAAGTTTAATCACAACTTTATTGTTTGCTTTTCAAACCTTTATCCTGACCTTTTCAACTTTATAGATGGTTTTTCCAGCGTTAATCATGCATAAAAAACTACAAAATATTGGCTATTCCAACTTTAATTCTAAATTTTAAACCTATTTTTCAGTATAACTGCTTCTATTATTTTTTTCCTTCTCACTCAACTTTATAGAACATAATTTTATATTATTAAATCTAATATAATTTTCTAAAGAATACAGCAACTTCAAACAACTTTGAAAATAAGAGCATTTCATACATGCATGCTTATTTAAGGGATAGTAATATTAAATGTTATAAGTATAATAATATTAATGTGCTCTTATATGCGGGCAATAATGAACAACTCAGTTCGCAGGTACCTGAAGCACATTTGCAGCTCTGTTTTGCAGCTACTAAAATAATAGAAAAAGTGTTTGTGAATAGAACATTCATTACAAATGCCAAATAGATGACAAATTTTACAATTTTAGAATGCAGCAGAAGGTGCGGCCCAATATAAAAAACACAGATAATGAACTTATAGAGAAGCCCCCCACCCCCGTTGCAAGCGTTATTCCATCGCATCATCTCGGGCCTTTCCGTCAGAGGTTGGAAAAACAACCTCGAATGTATTAACATCACCGGATGTTAAAAATTCATACATTTCCTGTTTTTAAACTCATATATATGTAGGTAAGGCGTACTTAGAAGTCCCCTCTATAGTATATTTTTGATAATATCATTATATTGAATAAAATTTAACGCTTTATTCTACAGATAAAAGGTCTCCATGCATTTATTTCAAAGATCGTGAAAAGGGAGGGTTGTCATGGCGTCTACCATATACATTTGAGGTCCTTTTTCCCGCTAGTCGGAAAAGCCCGAGAAGGTGCGATTGAAGCGTTATTCTGATATGGATTTGGCTAATAGCCGTCAATAGAGGGCGCTTAGAAACTAAAACCCAGAAAACACCTCAAGACTTTCAACATTTTTCATAAATTAATATACCACGAAAATTGTGCATTTAGAACACATATATTCCTTTATTTACATAAATACACATTATACAACTATGTAAAATATGAAGTTACACAACTAGACCATATTAGGTGTTATATTAATTGGATAACAAGGTATTACTTTAATGCTACGACTGCACAAAATTGTACTAAATCGGGTAACTTTAAGAGTGAAAAAGTCAAGATTAGTGTTGAAAAAAAGCCAATATTAGAGTTGAATAAGCCAACTTTATAGTTGGGCTTATCAGACAGGTTCGATCGCCATGAACAGATAGCTCACTTGGTAGAACATCGAACTAGAGAATCAGAGGGGGGTATCATTTTGGTTGTCTTTTTTTTCATTTCCTATTACATCATTACCAACTAAATTATATTTTCCATAGGAACCAAGAGACATAGAAGAGGTTCTGGATCTGATGATATGTTTAAAAACATAGCGCAAAATACCGGGGGATCAGTTCACGAAACAACCAAGGAAAACATTGGTGAAGTTATGGAAACAGTAATGGAGGTACAGAGGGCAAGATACAAAGCAAACATTTCATTTATTTAGCCATCATGTCTTAATATCTTTTTCTTTGATAGAAAACATTACCATCTGCAGATGTTATAATTGAGTTGAAAACTTTGACAAGTAGAAACAACGCTACTGTGGTTATAGATAGTGATCCTAACGTTGTCAAAATAGCAATGGAAGGGATATCCAAAAACTTGATGAATAACGTACAACTATGGAACACAAATGGTAAGAAGTAAAATATATATAGCTTCAATAGTTTTTATAGTTTTATTATTCAAATTTTGATACTATATGTACACGGAAATTGTTACCCCCATTTTTCATCCGCCTTTTTCTTGCCCTTCGCACAGGTTAACGAATTAAAAACCGGGAAAATTTTAAAATTAAAACATTATAATTTTTTAACATATATATATATATATATATATATATATATATATATATATATATATATATATATATATATATATATATATATATATATATTTGGTGAAATTTAATAGGAAACAAAATTATTTGCAAATCTAAAAAGGTGAAAATAAAACGGAAATAAAATTACCCTGTGTACTGTATTCACAAATATTTTTGAAATTTAGATATTTTTGAAGGTTCACTTATATAAAACACTCTTATATTCTTCAATTCTTTAGGAACGAAGCTGTCATTCAGTGGAGATGTTAAGTTTATGTATATGGCAACAATGAAGTTAAACATAATTACCTTGAAGGTTACTTTTTATACTTAAATGCGTAAATACATGTTCATAAAGATACTCAAATTCGCAAACTACTGTCTTAATATTTTATTTCAATTCAATTGTGTGAAATGGATATATCATTTATACTCTGTAAGTTCAGTATTCAAGTTTTGATTTCCTATTCTTTGCAGCCTATTCAATGTTTATTTTTTCAAAGTGGAAGATTAACATGAGTCCCTATTTTTTACCTACTTTGCAATTCAGTATCAGTCAATTAATGTTTTAATCTTTTAGAACCCGACCCCTGGCAGATACAATCTAAGACTTGAAGACACGGAGGATTTTGTTATCCGCGTAAATATTACAGCCCAAAGTGAACTTTTCTTTTCATCACATGTCATGGAAATGGCAGATGGATTGTTGACTACAATGAGTGGAAACCCGATTCTAGGTACATTTTATAAAAGAGCAAAATATGAAAATGAATATTTTAATTTTACTTTAGATAAAGCTTTAATTTGAACAGCTATACATGCGACCTTTATTGATTATTTTCAATTTGATCGATAATTTAGAAATATGACATCGTAAAGTTCACGTTTTCCCTCAATTTTAGCATATTTTATATAAAACTACTTATTTTCAAGCAGTTTTTCTTCCTGACAAAATTGAGCGCAGACTAGAACAAACTTTATATTTTTATCAAAGATGTATCTCCATATGTTTCACACACTGTATATAAACTGTACTTCATCCACAGGAAACGAATATGCCATTATGACAACAGTATACAGCTTAGATAATGGAACTGTAGATCGAATTGGTGTGTTGACAGAGTCGGGGTTGCTGTATCCTAAACTCTTGGAGTTACATAATGACAATTCTACTGTTAATTCTGTGTATTTGTTGAAACTTAAGCTAAACACATCTGTGAGTATCTTCAACTTTGTTTTATTTTCAATAATTAATTTATGCAAATACATTTTTGATAAAAAGAGTTCTTAAAATAAAACAATAATTGACTTTGAATAACATCACTTTGTTTTAAGGTTTCAATGATAGTGATGGAAGGAAGAGACAGCCGCGGTTTCGAATTCAGAAGAGCTCGAAATATAAATTTAGAACCTGTGATGGTTGAACTCTCCGTTGTACACTTTACTGGTTAGGTTTTTCTACATTTTAAAAATGTATTTTTTTTCATGGGAAACAAATTTCTTTTTGTATTTCTTAAATGATTTAATTCAAAATAATTTTTATTACAACAGAGGAAAAGAGATATGATGAACCATTTAATGTGACATACACCATAACAAACAAGGGCAATTCACCAATTCAACTTACTACCACAATTAATGTAACGAATGGAAATTTGCCGGATGGAAGACCATCCGTTCATGTCATTCTTTCTCCTTTCGATAATTTTACATCAAATTTTCTTGTGAAGGGTCAGATGTTTTCTCCTTTTCTGTAAGTTTAAATAGTTCCAAAAATTCTGTTTTTCTTTTTTATAAAAAAAAAACCCAGAAAATTAAGTAACTTTTTGAAATTTTATTAAAAGGAAATACTCCATTGCTGTGATGACAAATGGAGATTCGAAAGTGTTACAAAGAAGTGAACAAACTGTAATGGTAAGTAAATATTCAGAAAGATGTCTTAAAATGAGGAAAAAAAAACTAAACAAATGTACTAAACAAATTTATTTTTGTAGATAACCACGAAAAAGCATCCAGAATTCGTTCAAATTAATAAATCCAGTGACTGCCCTCTCTCTGCTCTGAACACGGGCAATTGTTCCCTTTACTTGTGGAAAACAGAATCCATTCTGCGGCTCTCTGGCGTTAACGTCACAAACATTACGTTGTCGTCTGCTGCAAGTTTATCCTACGTTTCCAATGATTCAACAATCGTGATGGCTGTTCAGTATGTAAAATCGATTTCATATGTCATAAACCTTTCTAAGAGGTAATGAAAAAAAATTGAACTAGTTAGTATTGTATGAAAGAAATGCCATACGTTGCTTCACCTGGTACAATAAAGTATTTGGACAAAATTTCGAATTTTTAAAAACTATTTCAGTAGTTCTTGAAAAAAATGTTATCAATCAGACCTGTTTACTCTTACGATTTCGCTGTATTTTGTACGGATTTTTGGTATATAATACGTCTCACGTTTTGCTATTATGACAATACAGAAATAAGAAATACACTTGTTTCCAATTGTGAAGTTAGTCATCGTATGATCTGTCTCAGTTTCACGCTTTTTAATCGTTAAATATATATATCGGTTTGCCAAAACGCCGTGGTATAAAATGATCAAGACCAAAAATGCCAAATCTCACGGACAAATCTCATCAAAAATACTGAGAGACAATGATATGGGTAAACAGGGCTTTTATTTTTGTAACCAAAATTACCGTTGATTTTTTAATTTAATATTTGTATTATATAGAGGTGATTGCTGTGTTCCATCTACAGAAATTCAAGTGTTTGACAGCGATTTTTATTCTGTTGTAAAATCAGTGGATTTTTCTGGAGGATACGCAGTGCAATCAATTCCAAGCAAGATAGCTGACCAAGAAGTGGTAATACATAACTTTATAACTTTCATATTAATGATTCTGTTTGCTTTTCTTGTGCATTTCCTTGTACGTGTCTTTTGGGGACATTTTTCTGAATGCATGGATTTTTTTTCTCCTATCTATCACCAGGTATTAAAAATGCACTTAATATCTTTTTCAAATCAGAAAATACGCAATTTGATTTTTTATTGTCCTCTTTAAAGATAAAAAAGACGTCTCCATATCAGTGAAATATTCTGGAGAGGGACGTTAAACAGTATACAATCAATCAATCAATCAAAGATAAAAAAAAACCAGGTAATATGCCATTAAGATTTTAGGTTAAAAAAATATGAGAGATGAAAACCACAAAAAAACTGATCAGAGTATAAAATCTAGCTGTGTCAATATATCAAATGCTCGATACGTATCGCTATTTTAGTATATACCGTTTCGAAAAAATAACTACCGATACGTATTGTATCGGAGAGGCAGATTTTCTTGTAATTCTATGAAAAAGTAGGAAATTTCAATCACCAAAGGTTATACTTTTCACTGTTTTGAATTAAAATTGATCAATAATGATATAACAATTAAGGAGATCATCATCACATCTTTAGATAAATGTTTCAAAATACATAGACAACTTTATTTAACATGTTGTTTTCATAGTAATTAAAAGTTTGAATTTGAATTGTAATTTGTTAAGGTAGTGAGACAAGAACTTCTAAATGGGTTTTTAAACAATTTATTAGTTTGTATTAAATTCGTGCATTAAATAAATTACAAGACTATTTGGTAGACTTGTTCAAGAATCCAATATATCGGATATCGCATAATTATAAAATATTGCATCGTATTGAATTTTTTGGCTCAATTCACTGCACCACTTTAACCCCTTAATTCCCTGAAAAGATTTTTTTGAATACTAGTATGACCCCGATTATAACTGTTAAAGTCTGTTAGATTACAACCTTTACTAATAGGCAACTTTCATAGAAAAGGCCCAAACATTTCGGGTTATTCATGCATATTAAAAATCTAGTGCATTAGAGAAAATCTTAATTAATTCGCAATATAAAAACTAAAACTGAAATAGAATGGTTGATTTACATTTCGTTAACAATCGTTATATGGCACAATCTAGTTTAATTTAACACATAAAATTAGATTTAAACTATGCGATTTACTACTTTTTCATTTTGTAGAAGGAACCAATAGCATTACCACTGCTTATTGGAGGTATAGTTGGTGGTCTTGTACTTGTGTGTGTCTTGATTGTCATCATTGTGAGAAGAAGTAACAAATCATAGAAAACAAAGCTGTAAACAACATTTTATGGAACGATAACAGCGTAATTTAGGACTGTTAACTAATGCAATTATAAATCGAGCTATAACTAATAAAAATTCTAATTGTCGGTTATTCTTACTTTTATATTTTATCTATGTAGAACAGTTTTTAATAAAAACGAAGACTAATTTAAAACACTCTCAATGCTTTATATATATACAATAAGTAATAAGGGTATCATTGGGAACCTTATCTCTTTTTAACTGTCTAAAATATCTATGCTGAAACATTAATATAGGATTGGATTTTAATGAGTACTTTGTTCTCTCCATTGTTATCATCCTCCTTACAATAAATTATATCATTCTTAGGTACACAATTTTCACTTTCATATATGAAGACGTTTGTAAAAAAAAGAACAACAAAAATCTTAAATAATGAAACTGTAAAAGTCTTATATTTTAATATTATCAATCATTAGTAATTCAGTGTAGTTTTTAACAAAATGAACAAGACTAAAGCATCTGGAAATCTATTTGCTCATAAATTTCTTAATCTTTTTCCAAAACAATTTCCTTCCTTTAAAATTAGATGTCCATTCCACACTTTCAGCCTCTTTAAGCAACGTTTTCAGTGCTGCTGTAAAATGCTTGGAATCAATATTATCTAATAGAATCAGGAGAATGTTGTTTTTGTTACCGTCTGCTAATTTTTGATTGGCTATTATAGTTTCAAATTGGCACCATTGATCTTGCATAAAATTGTTTGTTAGAACTAGCAAAAGTTTTCGACTGGCCTCCATATTCTCAAATATGTTATCCACATGAAAACCAACAGGCAAAAAATTTCTTTCATGAAGACAAAGTTTGTAACTTTCCTTTTTCTCTAGGACGTCCACTAGTTCTGACATTATCCACTTCCGGTCACGTGTATTGTAAGCAACGAACCCGTCGTATTCTTTTAAATCATGGTCAGTCAATCTATGGTATCCCCTCCGTCTTCCATCCATGCAGTTATGTACATAAAACAAAATATCCCACCTTAACTTTCGAAGAAGTATAAACGTAAACAGAAAAATAAATACAAAGGAACCAATGGTCAGAACGATGATGAAAATTCGATTTAATGGATGACATTTCATTTTGAGATAATGTAAATTGCTACTTATATGATGACCCTTCCACTCTTTTGGTGAATCACACTGATTTGAATTATAATTCATGACTTTTTCTCTGTGTGTATCTGCCCAGTTAACAAACCATTCAAGGTCACAGTCGCAAGCAAAAGCATTAAAGGAAACATCGATGGTAAAATTTGAATTATTCCACATATCTTCTTTGAATGAATCTTCATGGATAGATGTTAATTGGTTTTTTCTTAGAATAATTTTACGTAAATTTGTGTTGTTTATAAAGCGATCTTTGTGAACATGGCGAATAAAATTACCGTGTAAATTCAAAATCTGAAGTGTTTTCAAATGTGATATAAATGGAACGAAATTCAATACAGAATGGCGTAAAATTAGTTGTTTGAGATGTGTTAGAGGTGATAACATTTTCAAAAAGTCTTCGTCTGTAAATACAGAAAAATCAAAAAGCGACATGTCTAATGTTCTTACATTTGTATACTTCTGGAATATAGTTTCAAATTGTAGCATTTCTTTTGTTACTCTTTTATTGCTTCCAAAGAATAAAGCCTCCAATGATTTTGATTTGAGTGCGTCTTTTTCGATAATCAAATCGTACGTTAGCATATCGTTCAAGCGTAACTTTTTCAAACTCCTAATTGATGAAAATGAATTATGTTTAAAAATGCTTATCGCATTGAAAGATAAATTAAGATATTCTAATTCAGTAAAACAATGGCCCTGTCGATGGAATTCAAGCGAGTCCGAGATGTGGTTGATTGCTAACCATAGAAATTTCAACCTAGGAACATACGATGTATTATTTGCATCACACATTTTTGGGACATAGGCAAGTTCATTCAAAGTTAGATTTAATTGTTTTATGTGGGCAAATCCTTCCATGTTCAGTTCTAGAATATTATTATTACTCAAGTCAAGTTTTTTCAATGTGGACATATTTTTAAATGTTGTTCCACTTACATTGACCAATTCCCAATTTCGAAGATGCAATGTATGGAGAGAACTATTACTGTACATGCTTTCAAATACATTTACTGGTAGTGATGTGGGGGCTCCTTTCACATCAGATATGTCCAGAGTCTGAATTTGAGAACCATTTAGCCATCTTAAAATTTGTTTTATTGACTTGTATTCCAATTCATTCATTGAAAGATCCAATTTAGTAATTTCTTTGAAGTGTTGCAATGCTCTATTAGATATTCCATGTAAGTTAGTCTTTGACGCTTAAATTTGCAATTTTTAATGAAGCAATCGGGTCAAAGAATGTATCGTTGATGTAAGAGAAATTGTTTCCAGACAGATTTAAGGTTGTAACACTTGTAGGGATTGTATCATGAAGGAGTTGTAGAGATTCTAGCTTCCTGTTGGAACAGTCTGCCACTGTGGTGTTGATACAAAAACATGGCGATGTGGGGCATACGTTATTTGAAGTATTTTTTACAACGAATGTAGTTGTGAACATCACTGCATGTAAAATCCGGATGATATTAATTTGCACCATGTTCTGAAATAGCAAATTTATATTAAATACACTCTATTGTATTTTAATTAATTTCCTTTCAATATATATTGAGTTTATAATTTCCTGTGTATGTTTATTGCGACGACTTTAAAGTCTGTGATCTTAATTATAAAAATATATATATGTTAAATCACAATGATATCAGGAATTTTGGTGAGGGTTAAATATTCGTTGTTTTTGAGGTATGAAGACACCCATGAATTTAAGTCCACCACGAAATATAAAATATTACACAGATAACTACTCAACAATTCTTCATCCATTAAAACCTTAGAGAAAGTTTTTTTTACTCAAACCACAAAAATTTAAACCCCACGAAAATATGCAATTTTACAGTATTAGCCTTTTTTTAGTCTTTTTGGCGCAGTCGTCAATTCTAAAGATGATTTAACAATGTACTAACATCATTAACCTTTAATAGAGTCGATAATGTTAATATATGCCTTATTAAAAAACTATGAACATTTAGATTACTCAAAAGTGTTAGAGTTGTAATTATTTGTGTGCTTGTTACTTAACGTCCTTTCGAGAATTATTCACTCATATGAAGACACCACGCCTTGTTGGGGGAGGGACACCCTGTACAAACTTTATCCTTTACTCGGCATTTACAGCTATGGTACAGTGGTGGATCTTTTTCATGTTAAGACCTACTGCGACTTAGGAGCTTGGTTTAAAGATCTCGCGCGAAGGACCTGTGAGAATTGTTATCTGAGTCAAAGGTAATTTATAAATCTAATACAAACCCACGTTATTAACTTAAGGTAAACAAATTGTTATCAGAATCATTAGGTTTAGCACATTTGTTCCTTAAGAAATAAAGAAGGAAGTTTTCTAGGGGAAAAATGAATAAAAGGTTAAATAAATTTTGTTGATTAAAGTGAGATTTCCATACTTACTATTAAAATACAAGGTCAAAATTATTTTTTAAAAATCGATCTAATCATACTTGTTAAACAACTGGATTTTACTGTTATAAGCAATAAATGCATTTTTCTTTAATATCTTTAAATGGAATGCTTAACAAAGGAAATATATATGTGACTAAAACTTAAAATATAATTATACTGTACCAGTTTCTCTAAATGAACTGTCCTCTCTATCACCACGATTCAATCTCATTTTATTTCCTGATACGGCTTAATTTTCCTCATACTTATAAACTATTTATAGGGCACTTACTAGTTGCCAGCGTAGTAGAATGTTTGCTGTTTTATTTGCTTTTTATGTTTTTTTTCGAGTATTACTCAACCCTTAAACCTAGATACAAGGGTCGTTCAATAAATGATGTAAAACGTCACCTAAGAGTAAGAAAAGAACTTAATATATTAATAAAATTCTTCAAAGCATTCTCTGCTACCCTTTACACTGACATTGATTGTACCAACAGCCAAAAATCTTCAGCATGTTCATCTTAAGGAATGCCCCAACGACACTGATGAAAATAACTTCGTATAACATAACTGATAATGTAAAATCCTCCTTTGATTGTTTTATGCGGATATGGAGATAAAGAACTAAGTCCATAAAATAATACAAAATAGGAACAGACCAAACACGATCAGGTGCCATGGAGGAGTGTGCATCCCCTGCCGACCGGTCACACCCGCTGTGTGCTCCTTCTCATGGTCGTATAACGGAAAATCCGCAGTTGATAAAGTGTATAGATAATGGACTAACTATCAGTATGAAAAACGTCAGTCGGCATCTGATTGTATTTGCTGACAAGGTTATTGTTTCGACCATATATGCATATAATGAGTGAGATCAAGCTTATGATGAAAAAACAAAGGGTCAAAATTCTTGGTATCCAATGAAAGGTCTTCTCACAAGGATTATATATGCAAAGTCCTAGCCTTTAACTTTCAAAAGTTAAGGCCAAGGTTACAGTTTTTTCATAAGTACGGAGATCTCAATGGTCAAGATCAGAAGATCAAGGTTGTTGGTACGCAATTAAAAGAATTGGCACAAAAATGTATGCATGGTGTATTAAAGTCCTGGCTCTACTGTTTCAAAGATATGTCCAAAGTAAAAGTTTAGAATTTTTGTGTAAAAGTGGGTCAAACTCCAAGGTCAAAAGGTTAAATTAGATGGTATCCAAAGAAAAGTCTTTTCACAAGGTATACACATGTGAAATATAGTCATAGCTCCAATAAATCAAAAGTTATGGGCAAGGTTAATGTTTTGGCGGACAGACAGAAAAACAGACAAACAGCTAGACATACGGACAGACGGACATGACAAAAACTATATACTCCCGAAACTTCGTTTACGGGGGCATAAAAAGTAAACGTGCATTTTCTATCTCTATATCTCGGTAATTTGAAAGTAACAAGTTTTGACAGTCATTTGCATCCATACATAAGCGTCATATCTGACGTCACGTAAAATGGGGGTTCTGTTCATCTATTCTTAGAATAGTCAGATTAGTACGTCATAAAAAATGGCTCCGAGAGGGAAAGACCTGTCCACAGATAAAAAGCAGACGATTGTTTCAATGTATAGAAATGGTTTCAGTGGCCGAAAAATTGCAGAAATTATTGGAATTAGCCCAAATACTGTGCAGAAGGTGATGAAAAGAAATAAATTAAGAAAGGGGTTCAGGAGAGAACAGAGGAAGATCGGTAGGAGAAGATTGGTGAGTGAAAGGGGGAATCGTTTGTTAGAAAGATTGGTAAAAAAGAATCGACGACAGACTTTGTCTGATTTAACCAGCAGTTTAAATGAATCTTTACCCCAGCAAGTTTCATGTAGAACAGTTCGACAAAGGTTAAAGGAGCAGTGTTACCACCGATATTGTGTTTCCAAGAAAATTACGATTTCCAAAAATAATCGCCAATCCCGAATCTCCTGGTGCCGGACTTAATTGGCTTGGACAGTAAAACAAAGCTGGTCACAAGTTATAAGAAATGAAATTTGTGTCAGGAAAGAACAGGAAAGTATATGTCTGAAGGAAACCCTGTAAAAGATTTCACCCTGCATGTCTCGGTATGTACAGTAATCCCCCCCTACTCGGGGTATATCAGCCATGTTTTGGGGCTGTTAGACTTACCATTGTGTGGGTACTTTAACAGAGGTTAAGGGAATTATTAATTTTGAGAAGTATATCTCTGTTTTGGATGACAAATTGTCGCCACTTGTTGCTAAGTAATTTAGTAATTCTAAGTCCATGGATGTGACAAGAAGATAACTGCCCCGTTCACCAATCGCTTGGAAAGAAGGAAATAGTGTTCCGACTCATACTTGGTCAAGTCAATCTCCCGATATTAACATCATAAAAATATATGGAGAACAATCAAAGTTCAACTAGAACACCGGTTACAGGACATAAAAATAGGCAGGACTTAAAAGTGAAAGAAATTTGGGAGTCGATCGATTCCGAAACTATAAAAAAAACTTAAAACAAGTCTATTCCAAAGAGACTTATAGGGCTGTCAGAAAGTCAAAGAGATATATTACGAATATTAATAAGGTAAGACATATTCCACTTCATTCTTCTGAAAAAATAACGAACGAAATCTCAGGTGTCAAAATATTTTATTGAAACGGCCGCTATTTAGCGTACTGTATTATGGCCAGGTACTGTATATGATTATTTAGCGTTTCTGGTGGATATGAAGATTTCGGTCGGCAGGGAATGCTTATTCCTTCGTAGTACCTGATCCAATTTTGAAGTTTCAAGGTTCTGATTTTTATTCCCCTTTTACCTTGTGAAAACTTCTTCATCGGTAAAATTTAAAAATGAAATGTAAGTGGACATTCCTTCAAATTGGAGAAGCAACATCTGTGGATTCCGGTAATGCGAGGGATCACATCAATACAACATTTGAAAGATGGAGGCCTGACTGCTACAATCGATACCTCCGTATATACGATTACACATTGTTCCGAGCACAACAGGTATATGCAACAGGTCTTTCATATTGATTGAATTATATAAATGAGTGAAATCCATGTTAGCTACGTAGAGATACAAATGTTTCTTTGATTCTAAGAATTTGATACATTTTTTGCAATGATTATATATACTGATTGTGTGCAGTTTCGTTCCAATTCTCAATTATGTAATTGTCTCCCGCGTGGCGCAGTGGTTAGAGCGTCTGCTCTTGAGTCGCGATGTAAGGAGTCAATCCTTACGTCGCGGGTTTGAATCCCACTGTGGGACGTGGAGACCGGTCATTCGGATGAGACCGTATAAAGCGAGGCCCCGTGTCGCAGTAGGTGCTGGCACGAAAAAGATCCCTCACTGCTCAAAGGCCCTGAGTGCCGAGCATAGGACAAAATTTGTAGCCCTCTACCGGCAAGTGGTGGCGTCTCCATATGAGTGAAAAATTCTCGAGAGGGACGTTAAACAACATACAATCAGTCAATCAATCAATTATGTAATTTGCCAAGTACTAGTAACAATGCACTAATGTAAAGAGAATGAAATCACATAAATTCCTGTTAAGACCTATATTACAATAGTAATAAGTACCTTAGCCTCTGCACAATGCATATAGAGAAGCACAGTCCATCCAACCTGAAATACTATGTATATCTTTCTTGTTTCAAACTTGTTTCAAAACTTAACAACAAAAAAACCCAGTAAATCCAATGAAATGTGGAGACAATGAAAAGTATTCCAGATCAAAAGTTCCATTTAAATAAAATACAAATCAGGAGAAGGTCAAATGCGGAACTCTATTACAAGGTGTCATTGAAAAGTTAGCATCACCCTTCCGACTGTGCACCTTGTCATAATCGACAATCTGGCGAAACCTCATCTCTACAGACCCGTAGCGATTCCTTTCTCCATTGATAAACAGAAAAAAAGCTTGCTCAGGCAATAGAAAAATGAAATATTATTTTATTAGATTATACTTTGGGGTAAGAAAAAGGTATGGTATTGGCTTTATTGTGCCCTAAAATTTAATGTTCTTAAAAAGTTATGAAATAGGCTAAAACTATTTGAGTAGATGAATTTGATAAATCATTAAAGAATATGGCATGAAGGAGGACCATTCTGGAAATATTACGTCACTAATTTGGTACATTTCTATGTTAAATGCAGAAAAGCCTCAGAACGACTCAATTCTGTGCTTATTTTCCTTTAAAATATAGTGTTTGTCACCGTCGCCCGCTTCAATGCTTGGATATATTATGTTAACTGCTTTGAAAAATGACATATCTCTAAAATCTTTATAGGCAGAGTATGTTTTCTAAAAGAAAATTTCACTGAAAATTCATGTCTTCTGAAACTTTTTACGAAAATACGGGAAAATGCACAAGTTCATGACGTCATAATTAGCATTTAGGAGGTCATATGAGAAAAACAATTTGAGTATTCTTACTGTATGAAATTCCTTTGATTCAGAAAGAATGAATTTTAATTTCTTATATCACTTTCATATTTTTGAAAAATACAGGGCTTAATTTTTATTGAAACTGTACCTTGTTCTTTTGACTTCAAATGCATTATAAAAAGACAGCCAACGAAAAGGACACGTTAGGGTGGGTCTAAACGAGTGACAAAGGATAAAAAATTTATTATAAAACAACAGATCTCCACATGCACGTAAGTTAGGTTGCGTATGCAAGGATTCAATCAGGTCAAATCAGACATGAACTCCTTAAAGTTGATTAGTGTCAAGCATTTTGGAAATGTAATCTGAAAAAAAAGTAATTTATAAATCAACTTGATTCTGAACTATACAATGTCAACTACAATATATATATATATATATATATATATATATATATATATATATATATATATATATATATATATATATATATATATATATATATATATATAAGTGTAAGGTTGGAAATAGTTTTTCATTAATTTACGTATAACTTTTAATTTGCAATTAACTTCCCTATCTAAATTAAAGATATAAGTAAAACAAAAAAATCAGAAGATAAAAAAGTTGTAGGATTATATTAACCTTTCCAAGGAATTATCAGATTAATTAAATAATTGGTTCTTCAAACAATTATTTTTCAATATGTTATTACCATCTGTTTCTTTCATCTGCTGTTTAAAATCTCCCAAGGCTCTTTTGAAAATTTGGTAATTTTCAAGCTTAGTCTGATACTCCTTTCGTTTTTCGAACACCTGTGTTACCGTTTTCCTCAAACTTCTTATGTCACCTTCAATTGACTCATTAAGAACCCACTCAATTACATTCCTGTAGTGGTTTCCATAAATATTCTCTAAATCTTTTCTTACTTTCTCTTTATCATAAACCTTCACGCATTTTTCGTAAATTTTGTCAATGGCTGTAGCTTTCTTTAAATCTTGAAAGTCCGCAGAAAAAAGTGAAGAAAGAACTATACCGGCAATTGTAGACAAGGTCCCAGCTATGTTAAGAACAGGGAACCAACCGGGTGTTGTAGTAATATCCTTGTTTGGTGGAGAAAATTGAGAACCCATCAAGTCTTTTTCAAGAACCTCAATTTTCCCCTTTAATGTGTTGAAAGAGTCTTTGATTTGCTGCTCCAGAGCTTGAAAGACACTTAACACTTCTGAACTTTGGCGCCAATTTTCAAGGAAGCTTACGTATCTTTCCTTCACTTTTCTTTCCAATACAAAAACACTTACTTCTTTAATGCCTTTTTTTCCAGCTGGGGTTAATATTTCGTTTTTTCCTTTAACTGAGCAAACATAATCCATAAGATCATCGCTTATGCGCATAATTGAGGAATCTAACTGGGCCCGGAGGTCTTTGTTAATCTGAAAATGAAAATGTATTTGCACGTTTATTATTCAAGTGATTCTGATCCTTTCTACTCATCATCGACACTAAGCCTAGCGTAATGTCTTAATGTGTTGCACGATCACTTTTTACTTTAATAGTAAATATGACATAAAATGAAGAAAGAGACCAGACTGCACCCCTTGAAATTATAACATACATGTTGAATATTGTTAATAAATATATACGCTATTTTAACAAGTTATTTATAATAGCAAAAGGACAACCTGTTGTTTTTTCTGTACAAGATCTTCTAGCAGTTGAATATTTTTCTCTGCTAATTTTCTATGATCGGCTTCAGACAATTTAGCCGACAAAATCCTTCCACATGTTACTCGCTCCAAAATTCGTAGAATGTTATCCAAAAACCTGTTTGAACCAAAGAAAAATCCACAAGGTTTTTACGATTTGAAACAAAGGATGACTACATATAATGCAAAGAAAATCGTCACATTATTTGTCATTGTTTTAAATGCTCTCGACAATATTGAAAATATAAAAATAAAACCTTAAATGCTTCTGCTTGCGACTGATGTGATTTCGTTCTATTATTTCCTTCAGCTTAACCTCAAATTTTTCATATTCTCTTTTGAATTGACTGTCTTTAGTTTCTTTCATCTATAAAAAAAAAAACATTGTTTATAGTTTTTGTTTTGTTTTTTCTGTACATAATATCATTCTTTTTTTTTTCTTAGGTGTAGGTCTAGTATTTCGTACCATGTGCTTAACGACCAAAAATGTTATTTATTGTTATTTTCTGTACTAATTCTTTGCGCCTATCATATTTTGTTACATTTAATAAATATAAAGAAAATTCAGACTATGGAATTCTGTGTTACATACATGTATAACGCTTAGTATAGATATACTCACAACATTTTATATTTTAGCAATAATTACGTTTTTAGTATTTTTGTTCGAAAAAGACATATTTCCCCATACATTCCTGTAGCATTCGTCATTTGGAGATAACGAACAGTATTCAAGCTCATACATGCAAGTCCATAAAACAATACAAAATAGGAGCAGAGCAAACATTGACCTCCGAAACATGTTATTGTTTGAATTAATCTTACCATTGATTGATTGATTGATTGCATTCAGTTTAACGTCCCTCTCCAGAATATTTCACTGATATTAGATTATATGGAGACGTCACCATTGCCGGTGAAGGGCTGCAAATTTAGGCCTATGCTCGGACTAACGGCCTTTGAGCAGGGAGGGATCTTTATCGTGCCACATCTGCTGTGACACGGGTCCTCGGTTTATACGGTCTCATCCGAAGGACCGCCCCATTTAGTCGCCTTTTACGACAAGCAAGGGGGCACTGAGGACCTATTCTAAACCGGATCCCCACGGGGCGATCTTAGCGTTGAAGGTTATATGTATAGCGATTATACAAACCTTTTTCAGTGAGATTTGAAAAATTTGGTCATCTTTCACGGATCCCCAGTGCTTCTTGATTGAAGCCTTGACCTTCTTCCAAGTACGATTTATATCGTCTTCGTCCTCTTCCTCTTCACAAGAAGAGTATATGACGTCCCATTTATTTGTCACAAAAATGACGTCACTCGGATCAAAACATGGCATTTTATTCTCTGAATGACGATGAAGAATTTCTCGCAAAATGATTGGTAGCTATTCAAAAGAATATTCATGTAAACATTTACTGGATTTGATAATTTTAAAAAAAGGCATTTAGAAAATAAATATTGTAAGGGTAGCGATAGGCTATTCATTAATGTCTGTCAAGAACTGATTTGTATTTGTTTTAAAAAAGCAAGATGGTGAAACAAGGTGACTCAAAATATAAAGCTTAAAGGTACTTGGACACAGATCTTGAAATTATTATTTTCTCTATAATATTACGACTTATATATTTTGATAGCATTTCACACAAAAATTAATTACAAATCTTATTTCGTTTAAAAGATATTGAAATTTCAAATTTTTCGGCGGGTTTGATTGACATATCCTTGCACTCTCACAAATTTAATTTTATTCTTAATCCTTAGGAAAAGTGGCAATCTCGTTTTGTATAAATGAAAAATATTAATACTAGAATCCAGAAAATTTAGAGTAGACATGTTCAAAAGCAAAACAAACACACAATATATTGTCAGTCCGTGCAGTTGTGGTAAGCAGACTGTGACGATTGAACGCACCCGGTGAATTCTAAATATAAACAATAACAGAACTCGAGCCCTGTTTACAAAAACTGTGTACATAACACGAGTGTGCTCGATTTGCTTAACTCTGTACGCATCTCTTAGTTCGGAATGATGATACTTGTGAAGGTGTTTTGCTTTCTAACATTTCAACTCTGAATAAAATTATTTTTCTTGATAAAGTTTTAATATTTCTCATTAATACACATCAAAATTGCCACTTTTCCTTAGGATTAAGAATAAGGTTAAAATTTGTGAAAGTGCAAGGATGTGTCAATCAAACCCGCCAAAAAATTTGAAGTTTTAATAACGTTTAAATGAAATAAGATTTTTAATTAATTTTTGTGTGAAATGCTATTAAAATATATAATTCGTGATATTATACAGAAAAAATGAGAAAATATTAACTTCAAATCTGTGTCCAAGTACCTTTAAGGGTATCATAACAGATGTCAAACCCTACCCTATCATCCTGTACTCCCCCTGCATTTGAAGCATTAACAACAAATACGAAAGCCACTGCGTTTTGTAAGTATTTCATCATCAACTCTGCCAGACTTTTAGTTCCTCCAACTCCAGGGGTATCTACTAAAATTGTTTTTCCCTGGAAAAAGTTATGATTGTATAAGTATATACGTTCACAATAGGAACAATTTCGATTTATACAAGTAAAAAATTCCTTTATACTTTATTGTTTCTAATTCGCCGCTTATCGTAAAGCAAAGATTTTTTTTTGCTAACGATAATATTGTTAAATTAAAGATTAATCTATTTTGAATAATGAATATCTTTTTTATTTTATTTTCTTTTCTTCTTTGTTTATCTTTATATATTGCACTTAACAATTTATGAGATAAGATATACATTCATCAAGTTATTCAATTAATTAAAAAAAATTGTTTCACACCTTTAATAGAGAAACTGGATACAAAATATCCACAAATGAGCAGTTTTCCGGCATGCTGTCCACATCTGTAAATTTCTGAACTTCTTTCCGGAATTCTGGCAGCTGGCCCCTTGTGTAATCTAATTTGGAATGGATACATTCATTTTTGTCGTTGTAGACTGTCACTCCAATATTTTCTGAATTCCAGATTCTACAAATTGTTGATGTGTTTTCTGTTGTTCTAGATTTCAAGATGTTTTCCCCAATAAGTGTGTTAATCAGAGTTGATTTCCCAGAGCTGGTCTCTCCTAAAAAACGTAGTACGTTAATAAAAACGGTTTCTTTTCAAAAGAGGTAGTTTAAAAACCACTTAGCCAATTTCTTTTCTCGTTGTCTTCAGAACAAAATGTGAAAGGAACAAAAATGGATAATCATTTCATTGTAAATTCAATCTGAAAGTATTATGTGTGGTATTTAGTTATTTTTTTTAAATCATATGTACAATATATGAACCATGGATGATAAAATAAGTTATACATTATAATTAATGTGTATTTTTTTAACAATGAATTTTGTGTTATATAAAGTTGTCATTTTGGTTCTTTTGTTAATTTTTCCTATGTCTGCTATTCTTAAAGATTTGCGACGAATTAAGATGTACATATAACAATCCCTATTTTATTATCTTTTAGATCTGAAATGATAATTTTTTCAATACCAACCTGCGACAACAATTCCTTTGTCTTCTCGATCCAGGTCACAAATTCTTTCCTCAAGCATTTGGAGATAATTAGGGAAAATACACTCTAATTCTGATCTCATGTCCTCATCAAATTCATCTCGTTGGAGTAGGGTTATCAATGTACCAAACGTCTCACGCAGTTTGGGAGTATCAATATTTCTGTTATTTTATTTAAAAAGAATTTGAAAGTAATGGCTTGTGGATTCTTTTTTTAGCTTTTCTGATCACATTTTGTCCGCTGTCCGTCTGTCTGTCTAGCTGTCTGTCTGTCTGTCCGTCTAACCCTGTCTGTCTGTCTGTAAACTTTTCACATTTTCGACTTCTTCTCAACCCTGGGCCAATTTCAACCAAACTTGCCACAAAGCATCCTTGGGTGAAGGGGATTCAAGTTTGTTCAAATGAAGGGCCACGCCCTCATTCAAGGGGTGATTAATGATGGATTAATGAAAATTTGGTGGCATATTTTAAAAAAAATCTTTTTCTCAAGAACCACTGTGCCAGGAAATATGAAACTTATGGGGAAACATCCTCAGGTAGTGTAAATTCAAGTTTGTTCAAATCATAACCCCCAGGGGTAGGGCGGGGCCAAAATGCCCGACTAAAGTTTTACATAGTAATATATGGGAAAATTAATTCTTTAAAAATCTTCTCAAGAATAGCAAAGCCATAATTCATCATTTTTAAATGGAAGCATCCTCAGATAGTGTAGATTCAAGTTTGTTCAAATCATGACCCCTGGGGGTAGGGCAGGGCCAAAATGGCCGGCTAAAGTTTTACATTGAAATATATAGGAAAATTCATTAAAAATCTTCTTCTTAAGAATAACAAAGCCATAATTCATCATATTTAGATGGAAGCATCCTCAGGTAGTGTAGATTCAATTTTTTTTTAAATTAATGACCTCCGGGGGTAAAGCGGGGCCAAAATGGCCGACTAAAGTTTTACATAGAATAATATTGGAAAATTCTTTAAAAATCTTCTTCTCAAGAATAACAAAGCTATAATTCATCATATTTAAATGGAAGCATGCTCAGGTAGTGTAGATTCAAGATTGTTAAAATCATAACCCCCGGGGATAGGGCGGGACCAAAATGGCCGACTAAAGTTTTACATAGAAATATATAGGAAAATTCTTTAAAAAATCTTCTTCTCAAGAATAGCACATTCATGATTGGTCATTTGGATTTAAACTTTACAATAATAAACTAATTTCTACTTTTTCTTAGCCACAGTGCTCAGGTGAGCGATGTGGCCCATGGGCCTCTTGTTTTTGTTTTTTTTTTTCAATAAGCCATTGATATCATGAAAAAAAATATTTATTTCAACAACATGTTTTCCTTGGTTATTAGTTTCAGGATTTATGTTGTAGCTTTTGCAAAACAAAAAGTACGAAACCTGTTTGATACAAAAAAATATTTTATTTTTATAGTTATGTCTATACAGATTACCCAATGAAGTATTGAAATATTGAATGTTTTATTGATGAAAAAAAAACATTGTTCAGAATCTATAAATGTCGCGTGCTTAGTGGCGTTTACCTATTACTAATCTAGGGTGGTTTTAATTCGAAAATAAAAGAATTTATACTCGATTGATGAAAAAAAATAAATGAAATACATTTTTTTTAAATAGATGAGTCCAACTTACAAACTCTGTGTATAGCTTGTAACGGGTGCCTGAGCGTAAGAAAATTGTCCTCCTGAAGACCGTTTATCAGGGTGTATCTGTGTTCTGTGGACGATAAAATAATATTCTTTTTTATTATTTATTAGAAATCCAACTTCGACATTTTAATTGCTTTATAACTCAAAAGAAAATACAGTTTATATGATAGGAAAAGGTTTACTTTTGCAAAGTGATTTCCTCAAACGCCTGTGCGAGTCTTCTAACTCTTCCACTCTCCAATTGCCTGAAATAATAATTTAAATTTAAAAAAAAAAAAAGCAGATAAAAGACATTTTTTTACCTTTTCTCAAACACTTATGATTTGACAATGTTTGGTACCTTATTTGTACAAAGTCTTCTTCATGTGATGTAGATTCTTCAATCTGAGTAGACATTGTGATACCTAAAAATAATGCAACAGCAGAGTTTTGAAAGGTTTTATAATGAATTACAATTGTTAAACTGAACATATATTGAATTTGCTGACAAGGTCATTCTATAGACCATAGATGTTACCATAGAACTTACGAAATGATGAGATTGGTGATATTCTTGTTTCAACAACTTGTTTGTCAACTTATTATTTAGAAATCATTCATACGTAGAACATACTCTTACGTAACGAATCAACTGATAGATGTTAACCCGAATGCAGGTGATGAAGACATATTGAAAGTTGGTGGTTGAAGTTAAAGTCATCTCGTTTGTCATAAAGCTTGGTTTTGATAAAATATCCAAATAGGAAACAGATGTGTCAGGCTCTGGTATCGTTTATTTTAAGCTCATCGAGAAATAAAGTATCGGCATAAGAGTAGAAATAACCATTCTTAACTGACAATACGCTGTCGATATATCTAAATGTCGAGTTGAAGACCACAGCAATGTTTTCTTCTTTTCACGTATAAGAGTTTTGACAAATTCTACTTCATATGAAAATAATATACAGATGTTAATTTCCCTCAATTGAGTGAACTATGTCGTTCTGCAATAGTTCTGCACCATGTGGACACCAAAGGAATTGTTTTCTTTTGAGAAACTATTTGCCAAGGTTTAAAGACTCATTGGATAAAACCCAATTCTCACCACATCTACTGATCACATAAATCTTTTTTGGGGGTGGGGGGTGGGGGTGGGGGTGGGGGGTTTTTTCAGAAAATCGTTTGAATGCCTAGCTAGATTTTATATTAGTCGCAAGCCTTTCTTGTCACTTAATCTTTTTTTATTTCATCTCAGACAGTTACACATTTCTTGTATTTTTATAATTGAATCACAGTGGAGTTTAAAACAATTATGCCCTTTAACCACATGTTTTTGTAAATGTGACGTCATTGCGTTAAATGGACATTTTTGAAAAGATCATACAATGACTCATATTTCTAAACCTTGTGAAGAGGTTATCCGACTAAAATTTGTTATGTTGTTTCACCTTTTAAAAAAATGTTGAAAATACATAAGGCATGCTCTACTTTGATTTTGTCAATGAAAAAAAGTAAACTTAAATGCAAATACCATCGCTTTTATACATAATACCCTTTCCTGGATTTTCTTACCTATGCTTCTGTACTGCAAAATAAAACTTTCCTTTTTCCGAGATTCTTCAAAACCATGCGTTGCAAAATTTTAAATTTGGTACACTTTTTGGAAAATCAAATCCACGAGACCTCCATGTCTTGTACAAAAATTTACTATTTTTTTACTTAACCTAGCAGGCATAGTACACAAGGTTATAGGTATTGTACAAGGTATTTAAATTCTAAAACATCATGGTCTGACCCTGTTATTCAACTGTTAAAGAAGCGGGCTCTCAGTATCGATTTGTTTTAACAACTGTAATTAGAGACTAAATACACCAATTGATATTCTGAATGCCTTTATTATAACATTTTGCATGATATATCTTGTCAATAAATGAGTAACCAGGTTGAAGCTAGCAGCAAGTAACCAGCCACTAAGCCCGTAGAAGCTATCAGCCAAGGAAATTCATCCAAGTATTGAGAGTACTCAGACGCAATACTGTTTTTTACTTTATTTTAGATAATTAATGGTTAACAATTGAATAATTAATGCGACCGTTAATTAAATAACGGCAATCGGAGGCAGTAACGCTCACCTGCATAAGAAAAGGTATTCGTTTTAAAAGCAGAAAAAAATAGAAAAAAAAATTACTTTCACCGTCCTTAACCACTTGAACAAACAATCACTATGAATAGGTTAACTACTTCAGGAAGAATTCATTTTCAACTCTTTCAGGGACCTCAGGAATAATACAGGTCCGGGGACTGGATAGGACCACTTACCTTATCTGTAACTTTGCTGTTTTTTAACATTGTTTATTGAAAAACGGAAAATGGGCGGCTATTATACCCCTTGTCTTTGAAATGTACACCAAATCATTACTGGGGCAAGGTAGAGGGGCCCTAGGGTTATAGTTCTCCGCTCTCAAAATGGGGGTGTAGTGGTACCACCAAATCATTACTGGGGCAAGGTAGAGGGGCCCTAGGGTTATAGTTCTCCGCTCTCAAAATGGGGGTGTAGTGGTACCACCAAATCATTACTGGGGCAAGGTAGAGGGGCCCTAGGGTTATAGTTCTCCGCTTTCAAAATGGGGGTGTAGTGGTACCACGAAGTGGTGTCAAGTGCATGGGACATTTTTCCAGCATTCATTTATCATCCATTATTGACCACCTGAGCAAACTATTACTGGGGATGGGCTTACGGCCTTAAGGGGTATTCCTAGACCACGTTTTAAAGAGTTCCAGTGACCCGAAAGGGACAGTTAGCTAACCTGAATTTGCTTGTTTTTTAACATTGTAAATTTTGAAACGGAAAAAAGTCGGCCATTATACTCCTTATCTTTGAAGCGTTCACCAAATCAAAATCAAAGTACTGAAAGCACTCATGGGAGTTGAACATGGTGTAAATAAAATCTTTGATCGGGAGGTTAAGTGAGTGAACAATATCACATGTATTAATTATTATCATTTCAAATACAGACAACTGTTTCACATTTTTTGAGTTGGAACAATCTTGATCGAGAAAGACATTCAGAGACATTGAATAGCAAAAAAATGCATGGGCCATAATGCTTGCCTGCCTACATTAGTCCTTTTTTATACCCCCTGCTTGAAAAGCGGGAGGGAATTTATTAATCGTGATTTCCGTCCATCTGTATGTTATACTTTAGGTATACCAATCTCTTATCCGCAACTCCTCTAACACCACTGAACAAAATTTTCATTGAATCTTTATTACATATTGCCGTTGTGTTTCTTCTATTACTTTTTCATCCTACACATATTTTGGGTTTTCCATTGCAAATCATGCACACTGCCATTATATTCATATTAGAGGCGGTTGATCATTTATATCACTTGTCACAGTCTTCAAATTTGTAATATATTTTTCCTTTGCACCTTTACCCATGTGTTAAGAAAATTTCAGTTTCGCAGGAATAATATCAATGTTGAAAAATGTAGATTTTAAAACAGCATCCTTTTAAGAGCTAACAGATTTGTTATATAAAACTTCTTTGTGAATAAAGATGTATTTCAATTGCACGAACATTATTCATGGAGTACGTCCGAACTTAATCGTTGTTAATATTGTGAAGAAAAGAGCAATACCAAGTTAAAAACAAATATTTATTGACAAAACATAAAAACAGTGGTATATGTGAGAGTTTGTGTGCGTACAAATTATCTGGTATGTAAATGAGGTTTTCCTTTTACTAAAAAAATATACTAGTCTTTATTTTGTTGCTTTTAATCGCGATTTTACGAAAACATCGGTGTCCGTTTTTGGTTTTAATATTTATAACAGAGTACTAGTTTTACCGCTTTTGGCAGGTGATACTGCCGATTAAATAAATACGCATGTTTCCTAAAGTTTTTATGCATTAAAGAATTCAATTAAACCAAAAAATGTTCATGAACATTTTGAATAAGACTAAATCTAACGTTTGCCGTCAGTATGTTTCAAGTTGTCGCTCGTATCTCTTTCAGTGTATGACGCTACACTAAAAATGAGTTCCATTACGAAAAACTTTCAAGGTTCTTTATAATTTAGTTTTACATAAATATGTACTTTGGATGAAATGTAATATTCAAAATAAGATTACTTTATCATTAAATTTACTTACATTATGAAAATTAGATTAATTCAGGAGAAAATGACATGAACTATTTGTCGCGGATGTTTATGCATGTTTCCTGTTGAATATCATCGGAGTAAATCAGCCGACACAGAAGCCTCGCTTTCGTCTCTATGTAATCAACAGAAATTACTGCGCATGTTAAATACGTGATGACCATGGGAGATTGAACATAGTTCAACTCCCAACTAGGACAATGTAGAGGGGCCCGAGCGCTATCATTTCCTGTTATCAGAACGGGGCTGCAATGGTACAACCAAGTGGTGCATGGGGCATATTTTTCTAGGGTTCATTTGTCATCCATTATTGGACACTTGAACAAACTATCACTGGGGATGGGTAAGAGCCTTAGGGGGAATATATATCCCTTTCAGTGTTTCCAAGGGTCTCAAAGCTGGAAAGGACAGTTCTGTAACCTGAATTTTGTTGTTTTATTTTTTTACATTATATATCCTTACAAACAAAGATATATAGTGGGCACCAGTAAATGCTTAACCCAGCCTCTTTCTTTACTCCTCAGCAAAATATTAAAGTAGTGAATAAGAAACTTCAAAATATTGTGCAACAATATATTTAAAAAGTGGTTTAAATCAGATTTGGATACTTAAAAATTCCAAGGAACTTTAAGACAATTTGAAATCACAAGATTTTACCAAAATCAACAGCTTTAAAACTTACTTTTCAACTTTATACACAACCATTCCCAACGATATAGTAAGTCCTGGCTTTTTATATATCATTGACAGCTGCTTTTTCAATAAAAAAGGAACTTATAAAAAGGAATTTACTTACAAATGTACCTTATCATCGGTCATTTCCAAAATTATTTTGTTCAAAACATTGGACACACAACTGACATCAAAAAGATGCTTGACTTTCTGAATGACAATATCTATACGTTGTTTTTGGAGACCAGGTCTTCCAACAATCCATTGGAATTCCCATGGTACCAATTGCACCTCTTTATTAGCAGGCCTATTTTTGTATTTAATATGAAGCAGAATTTGTGCAAAGTTTTATGCATGAAAAGAAGATAACACTTTCTGTAGCCTTCAACTCGACATTTAGATATATCGACGACGTACACTGCATTATTATATCGATACGATATATCATGGTGAGCTTGAGAGTCTGATACATTTAATTCATATTTGAATATTTAACTTGAAAAAGACGTTGATGGTAATCTAACAACCAAAGTCCTATGATAAACGTTATGTCATAAACTTTTCTATCGTCAACTTCCCTTACTTGTGTAGCTATATACCTTCATCACCTACATACGGAGTTTATATATTTCATCAGTTGATTCGATATGAACAATTTCTAAACCAATGTAAATTACTGACAAACAAGTAGATGAAACAATAATTTTCAGCAGTCTTGTTTAAAGTCATCATTTCGTAGGTTCTATGGTCGATACAAAGACCTTATCAGTGAATACAATTTATCATTAAGTCAAATGCTGAGTGACGTTTTCATACGTTTTTCATACTTATTGTTAGTCCATTATTTATACACTGAATAGATGACGTATTTTCCCCGTTATTTCCCAATCATAACAATGGGCCCACGGTGGGTGTGACCGGTCGGCAGGGGATGCTCACTCCTCTGTGGTACGTGCTCCCACCTCTGATGTTTTGGAGTCCGTGTCTGCTCTGCTCCTAATTTTTATTCTTTTATAGACTTTTGTTCTTGAACACTGTTCGTTATATCCAAATTTTTTATCTTTACCAATCAATATCAAAGGCTCACAGTTGGAGAGTCCGTTAGATAAGGGATGTTTATTCCTCCTAGACAACTAATCAAATGTACAATTTCCAGAATCCTTGTTATCCCCTCTCCACATATATGTATTGTTTATTAAATTTTTTAGATCGATCACTGTTCTCTATTTTCACCTTTTTTATCATTTATCATAGAAATTTAATTCCTTGAATAAGAAAGGGAAAATACTTTCAAAATGTACAAAAAGTACAATGTTCAAAAGATTCCACATTTAAATTTAAAAAAAAAAACCTCATCCACAGCCAGGAAGGATAACCCTTCAATTTATAATTTAATTGAAAAAGTATAAAAATAAAACTTGAAATTGAAATTTTTCATGCAACAATATTTATTTTATGCTTCTCAATATAATTCAAGGTTTTTTTTAAGTTTTTCAATTTGGAATTAAAAGTTAATTTTTGTACCTCATAAAAGTAAGTAAAAATTATATGTTTAAAAAAATTGAAGTTCGTTTAATCTAGCCTTAGTAACCAATGTTTATTAGCATGATTTGAAAATGATCTTTTGTGTTTTCCTTGATAGGAAACACTTCATACACTATGCATTATAAAATGATTGAAGTAAATAGGAGAAAGATAAGTACCGAAAAAGTATTTTTTTTTTTTTAAAAAAAGCCTGGATTCCTATGATTTTTATTCTTAAAATGTATCTGTAGATCAATTTTCAA